CGCTTTTTTACAATTTTTATCTTTCACATCGATGCATTTTTGAATTATTATATGTTTTCTGGATTCACAATTTATGGAGGATTAAGATTTCCTTTCGAGAGTATTGGTTAGGAGATGATTGACAACATTAGCACTCTAACAACTTTAAAATTCCTAAAATCACTATTGAATTTTCTCACACCATTTTTTTTTAATGTTATGATTCTTTTTATTAAAGTTTTTTGTGACTTTTTGTTTTAAAATTGTAGTTACCTATCTAAAATTTTAAATGTTTTTGTATAGTATATTGTTGGTTTAATAACTAAAATATATATTTTTCAAAGCGTTAAAAGTTTACAATAACACATTTAATTTGAAATTATAATTTTGGGTGGATATCAAAGAAAAAAAACTGAAATTGGTCATCCTTATGTTACACTTTAGTTTTTAGAATTAATTTACATTAAACTTAGCTATTAAATTGTAGAAATTAATTGTTAAAGTTATTAAAAACACTTACACTTTTTTCTTTTCAATAAATAAATCTAAAAAGTAAATGTCAAAAGAATATATGACACATGACATTCTTTCATGACTTGGATTTAGAAAAATTTTAAAATATTATATAAGATATGTCAGTTTTAAAAGCCCATTAAACACTACAAACCCAATAAAATTGTTCATTGTGAATTCATTTGTGAAACAATTTGATGTTTTTTTATTTGGTAGTGAATGTAACATCATCGTATGTAATAAGTTACTAATAATGATCTAACAGACTACACCCAAAAAAAGTTTAAATTTATGAAGAGAAAAATTCAAATTCAAAATGTAATACAATAAAGGTAAACGTCAAGATTATTTCCTAAGCACAATGGAGACATTGTTGTCTTGGGAAAGCAATGGAACCATCTCAAGCAACTCTTTAAACACTCTTTCTTCAAGGTAACCTCCCAACCTTACGACCATCTTCTCTAATGTCTTTGTACTTCCATAAATGAAGCCACATGCTTCGACTCTACATTCCCACGTTTAATATTTACAAAGAACCTCACTTTCGAGCTCCAAGAGTATTGATCCGAATTCAAGCCTTGCAAATCCAAGTAGTTGTCAATATAATTCCCCTGTGCAATAACATAAACGATTTTATTTATGCAAAATTATTGTCAAATAAAACAAGATTTTATTGTTTGAATATAATTTAACATTCATTTAAAAAAAAAAAAAAATCTCTACTCTACGAACTTAAAAGTGAAAAGCACTCTTATGGTAAATTATTATACCCGTATGGTGCTTATGTGCACTGTTAGCTTCTTCACTTGAGGTGAGTTTTGTAGCACTCTTACTATACCAGGAATTACATATTGAGATATCATTGTCTCAAACGTCAATTCTTTGACCTTGAATATCGGAAAAAAGAGCACGTCGGAGCACAGCAAGAGATAGAATCTAACAAAAAGCACGAAGAGATCATGAAATATACCAAAAGGTAGATCTATAACATAGAGAGTGTGCATATACGAAACGGTAATGACTTTTTAGTTATTATAGAGAGTGTGCATATAACATAGATAGGTTCAAAACATACCTTAAGAAAGAAGTTTGGTCCAAAAGTAAGCTTCTCAACATTATCCAACTTCTCTAGCATCTCTAGAGCCATCTCTTGAAGACTCTCAGCCTCCATATTTTCAATTAACCAAAAGCTAATATCTAAGCTAGCTTCGGTTAACAACGAGACATCAACTAAAGTACATGGCAACGCATAGTGTCTTAATCTTAATTATATAATGGATATGTGGTGCTACAATCTGCAGCAGCTCCGGAGTCCAATACGATCTATTTCTAACGTTCTAAGACGCAACGATTTGCTGAGATCAAGAACCTTCAGTTCATCATCCAAGAAACCGAAGATATACAACGTTAAGCTTTCGAGAATCGGACAACCAGATAGAATCTTAGCAATCCATTCGTCAGAAAGTACGCTACAATGCAAAGACAGCTTCTTGAGAGATGTCCAAGCCACTGAGCAACTTGGAATCTTCATTCTATTAGAGTTTAATTCAATACTGAGTTGCTTGATAGAGGAATTGATATAGAAGGAATCAGGAATATTGTAGTTATGGTTATCAAAATACAAAGTTAAGCTTTCGAGAATCGGACAACCAAATCAAATCTTAGCAATGCATTCTTCAGATATCTTGCAAGATTGAAAGGACAGCTTCTTCAGAGATATCCAAGACACGGAGCAACTTGGAATCTTCATTATATCAGGGATTCCAAGTTGTAATGAAAACCAAGATCCAGGGATTCTGGACATGGCGAACTCAGTCCATCTGTCAATGTAAGGTATATGTCCGATCATGTTGTCACGGAGCTGGAAACTCGTCATCTTGCGAGCCGTGTAGCGAGCTAGGGTTTCGTTTATCGAATCAGCTTTCACTCTACACCAATCTTCTGATTCGAGAGAGAAGGTGTATCGGACCATACATGCCTCCATCGTTTGGACAAGACAGAAGTTCTGATGGCGAATCTGGTCGGAATTAATAAAGGAGAGGATATGTTGGAGGATCTCATCAGGCAAAGGACTGATTGAGTCTACACCGTCACCGCTCTCGTTCACCATCTTAATTTACCAACTGATGACCATAATTTTCATGCGATTTTCTTAGGGTTGAGTTGTTATGAAACAACTTTTTTTAATTTTTATTTTTGTATATGCGAGGTTCCTTCTCATTCACGTATCTACTTAATACAAATATTAGGCCCAATATATTTT